TTGGGAGTAGTGCAATATTTTCACTTATTTTTTTAATTAAAAAATGATTAATCAGCATTTTGTATTTTGCTGAGTTGTTGTATTTTGCAGGAGTATTTTTTACCGAGGTAGAGTTTTTTTCCTAGTGATTTTATTCTCCATTCTCGTTCGTGTATGTACACATATACATGTGCGAATACACAAACACGCATAAATCAACATTTATTGTTACATTAACTGAATATTGTAACCACAAAGCGTGAACACAAACACACCCATTTGCATATTGGTTATATATACACACATAACTATTAATAAATACACTCAAAAATATGTATATATCAAAGGGGATATAACGAAAGGATCGACATGGACATAGAGCAGTGAGAGGAATGATAGATTTACAGATCCATCACCTTTTTATAGACCATTACTTTTTTATACCCTACACTACATAGTGGTAAGGGTATTATGTCTTTGTGCATTTGTTTGTAACATGGAGAAGGAAACGAGATAGACCCATACTTACTTTTGAGAACCTTCATAGAATCACTTTCTGAGTCGATTTATGCATGTCAGTCCGTCTGTCCGTCCGTCCGTCCGTCCGTCTGTCCATGTATTCTTGTGAACAAAATGCAGGTCGCATTTATTATACGATTGAGATGAAATTTTCCAAACAATATTTTTTTGGCCCAAGGACGAACCCTATTGAAATTGGTGAGAATCGGATCAAAGTTAGATATAGCTCCCATATATATCTTCATCCGATTTCGGGTTAAATGTGCACCAAATGTCCACTATCAGTCCAAATTACCTGAATTTTGGCACACCCAACCGAGTTCGGCCTAGAAGCAAGTATATTAAATTTGGAGAAAATCGGTTCAGATATAGCTATAGCTCCCATATATATCTTTCATCCGATTTGATCTTTAAGTCCCTCATATTCCTACTATGCACTCCACAACCGTGACATTTGGTACCAGGTATTATATGGAGCACAGAAATAGCTGTTTTAAATTTTATCGAAATCGGTTCAGATTTGGATATAGCTCCCATATATATCTTCATCCGATTTCGGGTTAATTGACCACCAAATAGTCAATATCAGCCCAAATGGCCCGAATTTTGGCACATGTGACCGAGATTAGCCTTAAAGCAAATACAACAAATTTGGAGAAAATCGGTTCAGAAACAGCTATAGCTCCCATATATATGTTTTATCCGATTTGGTGTTTAAGCCTCTCACATTCGTAATATGCACTCCACAAGAATGATATTTGGTACCAGATATAAGATACAGCCCAGAAATAGCTGTTTGTAATTTTATCGAAATCGGTTCAGATTTGGATATAGCTCCCATATATATCTTCATCCGATTTCGGGTTAAATGTGCACTAAATGGTCAATATCAGCCCAAATCACCTGAATTTTCGTACATAAGACCGAATTCAGTCTAGAAGCTAATACGTCAAATTTGGAGAAACCCGGTTCAGAGATAGCTATAGTTCGTAAAATGCACGATAGAATTAGATAGATTTTGATTTTGTACCAAATATCTCATAGAGCTCTGAAATGCCCTGTATAAACCCTTTTACGAGAGCTCTACTTAATATGCATAGTGGTGTAGGGTATCATATAGTCGGCCCCGCCCGACTTTTGAGCTTTCCTTACTGGTTTTCCTTTGAAAAAGAGTTATTTTCAAGAATTTTTGTTTTTCAAAATTTCTAAAAGTAGAAGACGCTTTTCAACACTCCCTTCCATATAAGCGGATGCATCACAGTTTTCGCACAATGGTGGATAAATATTTTCCCTTGAAAAAAGATTCTAAAAGTAAAAGACGAGATCTTCCCATCGCGCCCTTCCTTCTTTCACAGTAAAACTAATGTTAGTCATAAAATTTCAAAACTATTGTAATTTGGAAAATATTTAACTGATAATTCAATAAATGTTATTTTAAGCAAATTTCAAAATAAATTCATATTTCTAGTTATATATTAAAATTGTTTCGTCGGTGTTATAAAATGAAATTTAAATTCACGAAAAACTGTTATACAGAGAACTACACAGGGTGAGATGCAAAAACTGCAACCAACTTGAGATTGCGGTCATTTCTAAGCCACTCGTCTGGCAGCTGCTAAAATTATTTCAGTGAAATTAAAAAATTATTTCATTATATTGTTTACAAGCGTACAAAAGCTTTTTGATGAGAATTTTCCAGAAAAAAAGTTATTCGTGATGGAATTCAAGCGCGATAGTGTGATTTCTTTATATTTGGCTGGAAAACCACAATTGGCTATCGTTAGAGCACTCCAGCATTTAAATTTGAATAATTCTTTTGTGTCTCGTACCAACGCCTTGATACTGCCAGCGTAGCCCTCCGGCCATGGTGATGTTGTGGGCCGCCATAATAGCCGATGGTCGCTCTCCGCTCGTATTAATCGACCGTGGCATCAGAATAAATGCCGAATATTATCGCGAAAATATTCTGAAGGGTATTTTAAAGCCTTGGGCACGCAAACATTTTGGCCGCAGACCTTGGAAATTCCAACAGGACTCAGCACCATCGCACTCAACACGCGCCACCCAAGAATGGTTACAAAATAAGGATCCTCGCTTCATGTCCAGCGCACAAAGTTGATGTTATTTCCGACATTTTTTGCTTTCATTCAACAAAATTAAAAAAAAAATGTATGTAATGTGTGCATAAATTGTCTATTTGTCTATTTAGCCAACATTATTTGCCGTAGAACTTTGAAATTTGGCACAATAGTTTATTTTGTGTCTAGGATTGCTGATATGGACAATTATGTATCGGTCCACGTTTTCTTGTAGCCCCCATATAACTTTACCTCCCGATATTCGGTATTTTCTGATTCTAGCCACATTTTTTCACGAAATTGTTCCAAATTTGGGGTAAAGAATTGGTAATGAGTTCTACATTTGGTGGCAGAACATTACCTCCTCATACGAAGGCAGTTCGGAAACTTCTTAGACTAGCACAAAAAGCGCGGTGTAAACAAAAAAAGTTAAGGGTTTTGGAAACTTCCATTTATGTTCTGAAGACATGTTAAATATTTGTTTCGATCTGGCCTCCTTCAAATAAGACGCATCCGTAATTTGTTTTTTTTTTTTTTTTTTTTTCAATGGAAAAATTAGAAATACTTGCTGTTATTAAATATTTACATAAAAAGTTTTATCGGGACAAGAAATTCAAATTGATATGGTGAGAGTGTTCCTTCATATGCTACAGTAAAAGATGGGGTTGCTGAATTTAAACGTGTTCGTACAAGCATTTAAGATGAACCAAGCAGTGCACGCCAAAAAACAGCAACTACACAAATTGTAACCAAAGTGCATGATATGGTATTAAATGATCGACGAATAAAAGTGCGCGAAATTGCTAATATCGTGGGTATCTCGAATGATCCAGTCCATTTAATTTTGCATAAAGAACTACTTTCACATGTAGCTTTCTGCTAGGTAGGTGTCGCATTTGTCAACAGTCGATCAAAAACGCATAAGAATGAACATTGAATGAACAATGAACATGACAAAAGAACAATCCAAATAACGGACTAAAGCTAATGGAAGTTTCCCAAAGAAGGCAAAAACAATACAAACGGCTGGTAAGGTTATGGCAACGGGTTTTTGGGACTTCAAAGTATAAAACAATAAATTCAGAGTACTATTGCAACCTTGGGATCAATTAAATGTACAAATTCGAGAAAAATCAAGGGATATAATTGCTAGAAAAGCGTTGGACTAAGTGTATAGATGTTTCAGGAGATTATATTGAAAAATGAAAATATTTTCTGAAAAACAAACTATTCTCATTCATTGATAGGCTACGAAGTTTCCGAACCGCCCTCGTATTCGGTATTTTTACCATCTATGCCACATTTTTTTCGGATTTGTTTAAAATTCGGTATTTGTAGTTCATAATGGGTTTTACGACCGTTTTCAGAACTTTGTCCATAACGGTACAAACCGATTGTCGGTGTTTTGATTACCCTAGCAACATTTTTCTTCGGAATTGTTTGAAATTTGATGTTTGAGACTCGCTTCTATTAAATAGTTAGAAACATTCCCAACCAGCCAATACTGTTATAATTTTCGAGTGTGTTTGTTGTACCATAAAAACATGCAGCGACGTAAACTTTTGTCCATTGATTATATATTGACATAATTGTATGGCTGGATATATGTGCATGTGTTATATGTCAGCAATAAAGTTGGGTTTTTATTAAGGGATCTTTTGGAAACGACAGACATACCTATGTATATTTTCCTATAGTATGTAAGTATGTATGAGAAATTGTAACCAGTGTTCACGTGTGAAATTACTGATGTCGGTTTTCACAGTTACATTCAATGAAAGTAAGTATGTATGCGTGCATGTAGGTATCTCTACGAAATGCCAAAATGACATTGAATGCGTTCATATGTCAGACTCTGTATGTATGCGTGTGTTTGTTCTCTTCGACAACTATACCATATTGAATTCTGTACAAACTTATAAGTCTGACATTATTGAACTCATTATTGAACCTCAATGTTTGGCAGTTTGATCGAAAAACACACACACACAAACCCTCAAACTGTAATATCGCTGTTTATGCAAGAAAACGCTACATTGCAACACTTGCAAATGCGTTTTCCACTCCCAATTATTACGGCGATGGATGATGCCGACTTCGTTTTTTGTTGTCTCTGGCTCTACCTCTCTCTTTGTTGCTACTTTTTTGCGTGCATGAAAAACAAAAAGAAATGGTTGTAGTCACAGAATGCACACAGCCGCATTAGCATCGTCAGTTTAAGAACAACCACCAAAAGGCAAACCACCGCAAAGAGAGAGGAAGAGTTCAGTAGAATTTTTTGTTTCGTTGACTCAACAAGTTAAATTGGCATGTGCCAAAATATATTTTATAAAACTATTTGAATATTATAACAAATAAAAGTGCAGTGAAACTGAACCTGTGTGTCAACTTATTGTTGGGAAAAGGTGGTTCGTTCTGAACAAGAACACGCATTTCAGTTGCCTCAAAGCGTGAAAGCCAACAGGGACACATCACGATCATTCCAGCGGACCAAAGGAGACAAGTGTGGGCAGACCGAGCTGACCCGGAAAGTTCCTTTCGTGGTGGTCAGCTTTTGTAAGTTGGGTGATTGACCCAAACATTGGTCCTTCAAAAGCCGTCGCTGAAAACTACAACAAGGGAAAAAGGAGTATTGGAACAGTGAGTACACAAATTATCTTTAAAAAACTGTGTGATATAAATTGGCTCGGCTGCTTGGGTATTTGAAGAAAATTTTGTAAATTAATTATTACAAAATTGTGTGACAACGTAGATGATCACCATCCGATTTACCGTTGCTACGGTTTTTTTTTGATTCCCTACCCTGTTGTTATTGTTGTATGTTGAACCGGCACTTTTTTCGTTTGCCTGCATTGTTGGTCGCTCTCGTTGGAGATTTTGGACCCTGGTAAACATTGTTGTTTTTGCTGAATGTTGGTTCACTGCTTGTGCGCTGACAGTGCTGCTGGCGTGCGGTTAAATGCGTGGTGCGCTGCCTCTGTTGCTATTGTTGTTGTTTAACATTGAAGCAATGCATTTATGATTTTGCCTCATTGAATGCAGGTAGTTGTTGTGCCTGCTCACAACCATCGTGTTGTTTTTTGTTATTGCCTTACGGTTTTCTATATGTCGTGCGAGGTTGACAGATTTCTTGTTCTAATGGAAAGACAAGTAAAGCAAGCAAAGGCAAATAAATATTTTTGAATTTGGATTTGGGCATAACCATTATTGAAGAAAGTGGTTGAAGTAGAGAAATTCTAATTGTATCATTGGCTCTATGTCTCATTGGAAACATATTTTTTTGGAGCGCTGTGTTTCTCAACAGTAAATTGGAAGCTGTTTTTGGAAACAGTATTGAAGACAGCATCTTGCGAAGTGGAAGTTTAGTTTATTGGAAAACTGCTGTACGCTTCTACACCTGCGGCTGAAAAAAAAAAAAAAAAAAAAATCTGAAGTTTTGAATTTTCTGAAAATTTGTAAAATTGTCCCGACCAGAATTGTGAAGTGGCATAATATTTTTTAATGCTGTACAATTCGATTATGATAAAAATAAATTATTGAGGATCTTTGTCGGTTGTTTTTGGAGATTATTAGAAACCACAAGTTTACTCATTTGGAGATCTGAAGTTTAGTTCAGACAAAGAGGAGCGATAAATTGAAAGCTGTGGACATTTTCTCATTGACTCATTGACATAGGAGTACTTCACAATATTTTTTAAGAATATTGGGATGAAATAGCACATTCATTTGGTGGACTGGTGACACACTTTGGTTCTAAGATATTTTTTGTCGCATATTGGCAATTAAATTTATCGTTTTTGAATACGTTCAGAAAGCCAATATTTTTTGTCTCGGATATCATTTTTGTCTCTCGACTTTTAGTCAAAAATTGTGATGGAAGACTTTTTGCTTCAATGTGATGAAATCACATCCTTCGAGGAAAACCTTGTGGAATCTGATGCCTCAATTTATAATGACTCAGCGATTGAGGCTGAGATAGCGGAGCTTCAGAAATTGTGGTCCGAATGGAAGGGCACGTACAAAACATGTACCGAGGACCACGAATGTATGAAGAAGAATAAAGATGTCATCAAAATGAAAAAGAAACTTGCTCATCAGAGCTATATAAAATGTATAAGTCTCCTAGGAGATATGAAAGAAAAAGTTAAGGTTGTCCCAAGCAGTACTAATCAGAAGTCGCCTTCCTCAATTGCGGTTCCACCGTGCGATACTGAAATTTTTGAAGGGGATTATATATCATGGCCCGGTTTTCGTGATTTATTCACGGCAATTTACATAAATAATAAAAGGCTCAGCTCGGTAGAGAAGCTCTACCATCTTTTTCAAAAAACGAGCGGAGAAGCCAGAGAGATAAATCGTCATATTCCTTTATCGGCGGAAGGTTTTACAATTGCCTGGGACAACCTACGTAACCAGTACGAGAATAAAAGAATCTTGATAAATTCTCAATTAAGAATCTTGTTTAATTTGGCTCATTGTGGGCAAGAAACTGCAAGCTGTCTCAAAAAATTGCAGCGAGATGTGACAAATTGTATTTCGATTCTGGAGCTATACAAAATTGACGTAAAGTCATGGGATCCAATTTTTGTTTACCAATGTTCTTCTAAGATGCCCAAGTTAACTCTGTCTCTATGGGAACAGTCATTGGTAAAGAAAACAGAATTGCCTCGTTGGGAGGATTTAAATAAGTTTCTCACTGAGAGATTTCAGTCCTTGGAGAGCGTATCAGATATGACTTCCTCAAATATGGCTCAACAGAATCAGGGACCTCGGCAAAAGTTTACCCAATTCGATAAGCCCAAAAATTTTAAGGTTCATCACACTAAAGTAAACGAGAACAAATGTAATTTGTGTAGAGGTTCTCATTATTTGAAATCTTGTCCAAGATTCTTGAGCATGGATTTTAGGGGCAGGTTAAATGTAGTAAAGCGACAGAACAAATGTATAAATTGTTTGACACAGGGTCATAGAGCAGCAGAATGCAACAATCAAGGTTGTACAAAGTGCAAAGCTAAACATCATATACTTTTGCACAAGGAAAGCAACGCTCAAACTATTGGCTCTGATGTAAATGGAAGTCCCAGTCTGCCTCAGTTGTCTATGTCGATTAAAAATTTATCATCTGCTCCAACAACAAATGGACGAAATTTTCACACATCTGTGTCGAATAAAACTATGCTTGCCACGGCATGGGTAAACATTTTAAAAAACGGGACTTCGTTCAAAATCCGTGCATTAATTGACCCTTGTTCGGACGACACTTTTATTTCCTCACGCATGCAGAAAAAGTTGAAGCTACCAACAACTTCTGTATACGCCGATATTTCCGGAATGGGTGGTGGACACTTGGCCAGGTGTACCAAAATTGCCTCAGTCACGATTGGATCGCTAAAGAGTACTTTTTCTCTAGATTTAGAGGCATTTGTTGTCCCAGAGATAACTGGAGATATTCCTACGCAGCCTTTGGATAAAATCTCTATCGATAAGTTGCCGGGTCTGGATTTGGCTGATCCGGAATTTTACCAAAGTGCACCAGTTGATATCTTACTTGGTGGAAACGTTTATCCTATTATTTTGCTAAATGGAGTGAAAAAGGATATTATGGGTTCTTTGTTGGCTCAGGAGACAGTCTTTGGGTGGATATTGACCGGCCCAGCGACAAATTTGGGCAATCGTCAGAGAGTCAGTGTTTCCCATTGCACTAGGGTGGCGGTAAAAGATCAATTGGCAAAATTCTGGGAGATTGAGGAGGTTCCCAGAATACCTGTTGTCTCAGATGATGACCGTAGATGTGAGGAAATTTACGTATCAACTACTATTCGAAGTCCTGATGGGAGGTATACAGTGGACTTACCTTTCCGGTCGAATTTACCCTTTTCATTTTCCTCCAAATCAAGTCGATATGTAGCCCTTTCACAATTTTTGCGCAACGAGACGTCACTTGCGCGAAATCCCGAGCGAAAGATTGATTATGACAATGTCCTGTTGGAATATTTGTCTTTGGGACATATGGAAAAGGTGGAAGGGTTAGTAGACTATCAGGACTGTTATTATTTGCCTCATCATGGCGTTTTCAAGCCAGAAAGTGCAACGACTAAACTAAGAGTCGTGTTTAATGCCTCTTGTCCCTCAGTGAAGGGAAGAAGTCTGAATGATGCTTTATATGTTGGCCCTACACTTCAAAAAGATATTGTTTCGTTGGTGCTGAATTGGAGAATATATCAGTTTGTCTTTAACGCTGATATTACTAAAATGTATCGTCAGATTTGGGTAAATCCTAAACATACAAAATATCAGAGGATACTGTACAGATCATCCCCAGAAAATGACCTGACTGATTATCAGTTGAAGACTGTGACGTTTGGCGTCAATTGCGCTCCCTATTTAGCCCGTAGGACGCTTTTAAAGCTTGCAGATGATGAAGAACATCGTTTCCCAGTTGGCTCTAAGATATTGCGGAACAATATGTACGTTGATGACGCTTTAGTCGGCGTACATACTATTTCCGAAGGAATTGAGGCAAGAGAATCTCTTATAAATATTCGTAAAACCGCAGGGTTCGAACTAAGAAAATGGACATCGAATTCCAAAGAAATTATTAAGGGTCTGCCTCGGTGTGACCTTCTGAATAATGAATTTCTTGAATTGGGAGACAAAAGTTCGGCGAAAACGTTAGGTATTCGCTGGAACGCGTCCTGCGACTCTTTTTATTTCGTCATGGACAAAATCGAAGATAAAAGTTCTTATACTAAAAGACAGGTACTTTCGATTATCGCCAAAGTTTTTGACCCTTTGGGATGGCTTTCGCCCATCGTTGTAACAGCAAAAATTCTGATGCAACAATTATGGCTTGATGACATTGGATGGGACGATCCTTTAAAGCCACTCGCGTATATAAATTGGAAAACTTTTGTCTCGAATTCTGAGGCAATTGGACAAATTAATATTCCTCGCTGGGTAGAATATTCGCCTGATTGCAAAATAGAGTTACATGGATTTTGCGACTCATCGGAGTCAGCATATGCAGCGGCACTATACCTGAGGGTAGAAGTTGGAATGTCTGTTGTCTCGAATTTGCTTGTGGCTAAATCCAAGGTGGCCCCATTGAAAAAGACGTCGTTACCTCGTTTGGAGCTCTGCGGTGCTCTTCTTCTTGCTGAATTGGTAGATTCAGTAGTCCCACAATTAGAGCTTCCTAAAGCCCCTTTGATAGCCTGGTCTGACTCGACCATCGTACTGTCTTGGCTCAAAAAACCGTCATATAGCTGGACAACCTTTGTTGCTAACAGGGTGTCAACTATCCAGGAAAAGATTGGTGGTGATTGGCGTCATGTACCAACATACGATAACCCTGCAGATTTGGCAACCCGGGGGCGGACTCCTTTAGAGCTAAAGGAGTGTCATATGTGGTGGCACGGACCAAGTTGGCTCACATTGGACATGAAGGAATGGCCCTCAGGCATAATTATACCGGAAACCACCCTCGAATCAAAACCGACTAAAGTGCATCTTGCCCAATCCGCTGTTCAACATGACGTTTTGGACCGATTTTCTCATTTTTCTACAGCTATTCATGCTATAGCTTACATTTTCCGCTTTGTCCGTCGAACTCATCCGAATACAAAGAAATTGTCTCAATTTGACAACATTAGGTTGTCGGCAGAGGAGATACGTTTCGCTCGTTACCGATTGATGTCCATCTCTCAGAGAATTCACTTTCCCCAGGAATTCGATTGCCTCAATAAGAAATTAAAGTTAGAATCTGGCAGCACTCTCTTGTCTCTCAATCCTTTTCTCGACGAACACCAGCTTATCCGAGCGAACGGACGTTTAGGCAATGCTCTATCTCTGTCGTATGATGAGCGGTATCCAATTATCTTGGCATATAGTAGCAGGTTCGCTGAGCTCTACGTCGACCATATTCATAGGCAAACGAATCATGGCGGCATACAGCTAACTTTGGCTACGACTAGACTCGAGTGCTGGATAATAAGAGGAAGAAATCTTGTGAAAACTCGCTACAGGAAGTGTGTACGATGTATAATGGCTCAGAAGAGGCGTCAAGTTCAGCTTATGGCGGCTCTTCCTCCTGAGAGGACAACCTTCAGCAGACCATTTGCCACCTCAGGCGTAGACTTTGCTGGGCCATTTGAAATTAAAACCTTTAACGGTCGTGGGTGTCGTATATCCAAGGGATACATATGCTTATTCGTTTGCTTTGTCACAAAGGCCATCCACTTGGAACCTGTAAGCGATCTTTCCACCCCCGCCTTCTTAGCTGCGTTGTCTCGTTTTGTGTCTCGACGGGGTTGTCCTCATCACATTTATTCGGATAACGGCAAAAATTTCGTTGGTGCCGATCGGGAGCTTCGAGCTAATTTCACAAAAGTTGTCTCAGAGCTGAAAGACGAAGCCGTGGTAAAGTACGGATTCCAAAAATTAGAATGGCACTTTATACCTGCTGCAGCGCCCCACATGGGTGGGCTTTGGGAGGCGGGCGTAAAAAGTTGTAAAGCACACTTAAAAAAGATCTCAGGTCAGATCAAACACACCTTTGAAGAATTTGCCACAATTCTTGCCAATATCGAAAGTTGCCTCAATTCGAGGCCTCTTACCCCTTTGTCTAACAATGTCGATGACTTTGGCGCTCTAACTCCCGGGCACTTTCTCATCGGAAGCTCACTGCTTTCTATCGCTGAACCAGAACAGACGGAGAAAATGTCGATGCAAAACCGCTGGCGACGGTTGAGGTTCATTACACAGGAATTCTGCAGACGTTGGAAATCAGAATATATAAGGGAGCTACACAAGCGCACAAAGTGGAAGCAGGCTCAGGACGACCTGCGGGTAAATGACCTGGTGGTTCTTCATACTGACTCAATAGCATCGAATGAATGGCGACTAGGCCGCGTTATAGAATTGCACCGAGGTCATGATGGTCGCGTTAGGGTCGTGAGTTTGAAAACTCAGAATGGGACAATTTCGCGCCCCATCCATAAACTCGTCTTACTTCCTCGTGCATAATAATGGTCCAGCAATAATCCAGCCAATGTTGTCTCATAGCTAACCCAATAAAATTGTCCCCAAATTACTACATTTTCTCTATTGCAGATGAGCTACAACGACAACTACAAATGCCCTTTTTGCCACGCTCGTCATGGGCTTAGGAACTGTCGCACGTTCCTACAATTGCCACCTACCCAAAAGGCCGTTTGTGTGACCGTTCAGGAATACTGCGCCAACTGTCTTGGAATGTCACACAAAGTTGCGGATTATCCCCTACTGGAAGGGTGTAGGAGATGCCAATTGCCCCATAACACCATGTTGCACGCGCTCGATGAAACCGGAAAGGAGTGGCTAAAAATGACGGCGGAGGTACTTCTGCATATACCTGGTCTCATAGACTCCCCAATAAAGGTAAGGGTGTACATAAACCCGTTAAAGACCGAGAGTACTATACGTTTCGGTGGCCCCCTTCCCGCATTCAAGCCAGAATTCGGAGCTTCGGTTCGTGTGGTGTTGACTTCTATGAGGAATCGGGTGCGTACATATACTGGCACACTAAAGCGACGTCACAAAGCACCACGCACTATGCCCAGTCGTCCGCTTGATTTACGTTGCCTCAAGGGCCTGTACCCAAAGAAGGATGTAGCGGATCAGGAACTCTATCGACCTGGGCCTGTGAATATTGTTTTGGGAAGTGATGCCTCAGAAGGCATATTCATGGGACTACCAGTCTTCAGGCCTAACTTGCCGTATGCCCAAAAAACCATATTCGGGTGGACGTTCTTTGGGGAAGTTCCAGTCAATCGTTCCCAAATTGTGATACCTGACTCCATGGCACTTCAGGATTAGCATTTATTTGAATTTAAAATTACCTCACAACAAGGCTGGACCTTGCATCAATTCATTGAACTACAACATTTATATTCGTATTTAGTTAAGTAGCTATAAGTCATAAATATTACAATGAATTCACATATGTATAGTTGGGAACTAGTCCCAAGGGGTGGAGGATGTTTATGCAAGAAAACGCTACATTGCAACACTTGCAAATGCGTTTTCCACTCCCAATTATTACGGCGATGGATGATGCCGACTTCGTTTTTTGTTGTCTCTGGCTCTACCTCTCTCTTTGTTGCTACTTTTTTGCGTGCATGAAAAACAAAAAGAAATGGTTGTAGTCACAGAATGCACACAGCCGCATTAGCATCGTCAGTTTAAGAACAACCACCAAAAGGCAAACCACCGCAAAGAGAGAGGAAGAGTTCAGTAGAATTTTTTGTTTCGTTGACTCAACAAGTTAAATTGGCATGTGCCAAAATATATTTTATAAAACTATTTGAATATTATAACAAATAAAAGTGCAGTGAAACTGAACCTGTGTGTCAACTTATTGTTGGGAAAAGGTGGTTCGTGCTGAACAAGAACACGCATTTCAGTTGCCTCAAAGCGTGAAAGCCAACAGGGACACATCACGATCATTCCAGCGGACCAAAGGAGACAAGTGTGGGCAGACCGAGCTGACCCGGAAAGTTCCTTTCGTGGTGGTCAGCTTTTGTAAGTTGGGTGATTGACCCAAACAATCGCAAATAAATAAATGGCAGCAAACTACCATAGAATTCTATCCATGGCATACCATGTCAAGCCATCCACTGAAATACGTGAGTAAAAATCACCATAAATTAATTTGAAAATGTTAAGTGGCTGCGAACAAGCAAAAAGATGTGGTCCTGCAAACACATAGCAACTGAAACCTTAATAACAATGCCCAGCATCCAGCTAAATGCACACACACTTTTTAATTGAACATAATTTCTCATGAATTTATGACAAAGCAGCTGAGAGAGAAAAAAACTACGCATTATAAATTCAAGATGGCTAATAATAAATGAAATTTTCCAAATTGGGAGAACATAAAATATACAAATCATATTATATGAAAAAAATAATTCAAAGATAACTTATGCGATTTGCTTCCAAATGAAAATTATTTAGAAAATTACTGTTGATGACCTATAAGCGAAATGGAATAAATAAAATTAAAAAAAAGAATTGTAGAACACATTTTTAAAAATGTTAAATATTCTTAGAAACGAGTTTTGAATTTTTTTCTAGAACAAAATTATTATATGTTATTATTGGTATTTTTATAATTATTCCTCATATATTTAACACATCCTGTTTCAATTTAATTCTAAATCCTCCTTTTTTTATTTATGCACTACATTTGACGAAAGATATTTCTTCAATGCGATTACAATACATTCGATTCATCGCCGATGCTATTGAATTGTATTTTATACTCCATACAAAATTTGTATTATTTCCTTAACATCACAATCTACTTGCAGAGATCATTCTGCTGAAACTGTAACAAGCTCTTACTCGTTTTCAAATGCATCGGCATTAATTCAAGTCACATAATTATCATCAGAATGAGACTAAAATTGTAAAGTAAATTTTAATAACACAACACCATAGTACAGGCAATAACAAAACCCATTGTTAACATCATCACGACCCAAAACTGATGGAGGCTAAATGTTTCCGAAACCAGTCAACAGACAGACACACGTTACATTGAAGCCTGCTACAAATGTCGTTATTAACCGTATTATCATTGTCAGCAGTAGCAGTGGCAAGAAGATTACCATCATCACCGTCATCGTCAACAATATCTTCCTGGGAAAATATGACCAAAGCTGATTCTACAGTTAATGCAAATTATGATGATGCCAGTCGATCGTTGTGCTCATCATTTGTTCATAATCGACAAGGAAGGTGTTGATGTAAATTGTCATATTTAAAGCTACCCAGTAAACTAAATGTCAAATACCATACACCCACAAAGTTATACATATAAAAGCAAGTCGTGATAGCCACACTATTTATAACTCAATAACGGCTTACCGATATAACCGAAAATTAGTGAGGAAAAGGATATTCTTTACTCAGTAAATGTACTAAAAGTACTAAAAATGTAGTCAATTGTTTTTGTCAAAAGCATAGAGGGAGAATTCTGAAGTTTATGATAAAGGTAGCTGATAGGATATTCTTTATTCCGTATATGTACTAAAAGAACAAAGAGATACTAAAAATTTGGTAAATTGGAAGGAAGGAGGGAGAATTCTGAAGTTTAGGATAAAGGTAGCTATGATAAGAGTTTTTTCGAGCTTTAGGTTAGTTTTATGTTTTATTTCATTCTCAATTTCCGATATTTTGCATTTGTATAAATTGCATCTTCAGGGGATTTGTAAGCAATAAACATCAAGTTCACTAAAAAAACTATGAAAGGATTCACGACGACTTTTTTTATGAAATTCGAACTAAAAGTGTATATGCTCGTAAAGTACTACAAAGGTAGCTTAAAATCTAGATGCACTATAGTTTTTTGCACCCCTTTTTTCGAAACTCGAACTAAAAGCAAAATGTAGATATTTACTATAAGATTTAAGCTGGGGAACTGGGGTAAATACAAATTGTAGTTCTGAAATGTGTACTAAGTGTAAGAACTGTACTAAATGGGTGAAAGAGTGGAGCTGGAAATCTGAAATGTTGATATTGGGGTCACTGTTAGTGTGTAGGGGTGAGACTATAAGGTGATTTTAGAAATATGTTCCAAAAACTTCGAAAAGTACTAAATGATACTAAATTTAGTATATGAGGAATAGATAGAAGTGACGCTAAATTTGGTATATGATGAAGGGGTAAAATTGGAAATCTGAAATTAATTGGTATTAGGATCACTTTTTGTGAGGTGGTATTAAATTTGATATTTAATGAAGGGATAGGAATAGAAATCTAAACTTTGGAATGAGGGGTTTTCATGTTGTGTGGGATAGATGAAGCAAATGTTTTGTTGTAATTCGAAGAATACACAACAGTACTAAAATTGACTAAGTTAAGAAAGTTAAGAAATTTGGTGTAAAAACCAAGTTTTGGAAGTAGGGTTTATGTAAGGAGGTGATTTTGGGAATGTGTATTAACTTTGAAAGGAAAAAGGAGGAATGTTAAAACTTAGTATAGAAATGTGTACAACAAGTGTATGAAAATTACTAATTGGAGAAGTGCTAGAATTGTGCATTTTGATTTTGCACATTTTACAAAGGAAGTAAAATACAAAACTACATACATTAGCAATTTATTTAATAGAAAAATACGATTTTGTTCAACGGTATGAGTTAATCATATTAATGATAACCATTTTCGAAATTAGGAAATAGTGATATTTTTTTATCTATATATATTTGGGGTAAAAATCCCTCATAATAACACTTAATATAAATTCCTTTTTCCGCATATGAAAATGTTGTATTATGTTGATAATGTTGTATTATGTTGTAGCAGTATTTACTTATAACGAATACTTTCTCAAATGCACTTATGGGGACTTGAATAAATATAATACTGCCCAGAACGCAGGTTTTCCATAGGATATTCTCTTTTAATAGCTTTGTGTTTACATTCTTACAAAAAAACATTCTGTGTCTGCATACAAAAATTGGCCGGGAAATGATCAGCACGCAATAAAAGTAGAAAGTAATCAATACCATTTTTCCTGAATCAAAATATTAGGAAAAAAACTAAAAATTAGGAAGAAATATTCTTGTTGCATTAGTTAAATTTGATTTTGTATGATTGCGTAGGTGTGAATTATTTTGGGATGATATTATTATAAAAAGTTTAAATCGTAGTTTAAGTTTCAAAAACAAATTGTGAGAAAAAATTTGACAAATTTGTATATAGAAGAATGCAGGTTATATTACAGTGTGTAAGAAAATATGTTTTCTATAACCGGAGATACTTAAGATTCCACTGAATCTTAATCCGCTAATTTGTCGAGTTGCTGTATGAAAGTAACATAAAACATCGATTTAGGCAGCAAATATAAAAAAATTGTAACAAAATTTCAGTAGTAATCTCATGGGTTTGATAGTTTTTAGGAAACTTACATTCGGATATTATACATAATATGTGAAAATGATATTTGAACGTTTTTTTTTTTGCTACTAATTTAACATGTTTTCATTCTTAGTGACAGTCTCCCTTAATACTTAATTTTTGGGGAAAGTGTCAACGGAAAAATAATTCTAGATCAAATTTCATTGAGAGTCTCTGAACACAAGAAATTTCTATGATTTTTAGATTTGAAAAAAGCCTATTTTATTTTTTACAAATTTAGCACTTGTTCCGAACTAGCTGCAAATTTTCTTGTAATTTCACTGACCAATACTCAGTCTGAGTTGTGGACAATTTCAAGTGGATTTAATATAACTCTGTTTGTAGATCCAAATCACAAAAATATTTTGGGTCCTAGACCAGGAATTTTAGGGTTTTTATTTAGCATCAATGGTTTTAAAAAATGGGTGATGCTAGTCCAATTTTAGGTTAAGTCCCTATATAATTTTAAACTTTGATGTAAAATACTTTTTTTCGTCTGAATATTATTTTCCATTTTTCTAAAATGTTTGTTTTTCTATGTTTTTTTCATCTAGAGGTTTAAGCAGCTCAAGGTAGAAGAATACAGGTAGTCGCATCGATACAGCTGCTAGGACAATAAACTGTCAAACTGATTTTGGAATTGAAAATGTTGAATGAAAAATTATTGAAATTTGGAAAAATTGTTGAAAAAATGCATATCATAACAACCTCCGATTGGCGTCGTATAGGAAAACATATACAAATCTACTTAGTTTTTAAGAAACATTAAAAAAAATTGACATATCAATGTTCCCAAGTGTTGATGCATCAACCTATATTCTTCTACCATGTCAAGCACGTTTCACAACGCGTACGAAACATTAAATTTTATGTGTGCTCTGTTCAGAAAGTAAATCGCGCGTTCATTGTGT